TCGGTGTTCTTCCCCGGCGCCCTCAGTGCGCCGCCGTCATTGTATTGCCCCCACAACACGGGGCGGCGGCGGCGGCGGCACGTTTGCTGCTGGGTCCTTCAATTAGGGCAGCGGGGTGCGGGGCGCGGGGCGGGGCTGCAGAGACATGTAAAGCCTCACAAAGAGGGCGGGGCGCTGGCGCTGGCGCTGGCTCCCGCTAATGCCAGGCTAATGCCCCGCATGCCGATTCCTTGTCCCAAACACCAGCCGCATTTTAATTCCACCGCCCCCTTCCCATCCTCGTCGTGTCTTTCGCTCATAACAGCTAAACGGACCCCTCCCCCCGTCCACGACACTGCAACACCTACAGCTGAACTGGTAAACGCAAGTGTGTGAATGTCGATTCGAGAAGTAAAGGTGTGAAATTTCTTTTGAAATTCACACACTTGTACCTGTCCTTAAATGTGTTTACGAATGGCGCTCACACAAGTAGAGTTCTCGGTGCTGGTTTAAACCAACAACTTTTCGTCTACAAGGAGGCCCCTCCTTACGTATGACCCTCCCTCAGTGGGTGTGGATCCGCCTCTTAGGGAGTGAGGAGAGCAGTAAGGGCGCAACCGAGCGTCAGTGGCGGCACAGAACCGTTGTTATCATTGTTGGCATGTTTGCACCGCGATCGGACCGCAGACGGCACACGGCGCGGAACGCAACTCGTATTATAATCTTGCAGCGGCTGCAGCTCGCTCCCCCATAAGACGAACCGTTTTTCCTTCCCCCTCTCCCCTCCCTTTTTATCTGCCTCTCTCTCTCTCTCTCTCTCTCTCTCTCTCTCTCTCTCTCTCTCTCTCTCTCTGTCCCCCTCTCTCCTCCCTTTTTATCTGCCTCTCTCTCTGTCTCTTTCTCTCTTCATTCTCTCTCGTTCTCTGTCATTCTCTCTCCTCCTCCTCTTACGCGCCTTTGCTCCACCTCCATTTCCCCGGGGATACCTGTTGAGCTATCTCCTCTTTTGCTTCTCCAGGCCATCCTCCTCCTCCTCCATTCCCCGGCCTTTTACTTCCATTTTTCTTTACCTCCTCCCCAACATCCTCCTCCTCCTCCTCCTTCCTTCCCTTTTGTGGAAGTTATCATCATGCCGAAAGATTTCCCCCAACGGCAGCAGTGCATGTATACGGCAGTGCGTGGAGGGGAGCCGAGTGCGCGGCAGTCAACATTTTGCGTTTGTTTTATTCATACACCGACCGTGCTACTGTATTTGTGTTGTGATCACTGATTGTGCGGTACGAGTGTGTGCGGAAGGAAGCAAAGCGCACAGACGCCTGTTTTCTTTCCCTCGCCCGTCAGTGAGAGAAGTTTGACGTCCACATCCGGTGCTGCAGAAGCCATAGTGGGGGTGAGGGGGCGTTTTTCTTACACCGTCTGCTGATGCACGAAGGTTAGGGTTGGTTGAGTTGGGTTGCCTACTTGCACGGTGCAGAGGGTTTTCCACCGTCAGTGTGTGTGTGCGCGCGCGCGCGCGTTTGCGGTGGCAGCGCTACTCGGCGTGGAAGGGCGATAACGGATGGGAAACGGAAAGCCGGAGCTTGCCCCATCCCCTCCCTTCTACCGCCTCACCCCTCCGACACCGGAAGAGACGGGGAAAAAGAGTCCTTTCGCCCTTCAACCGTCATCCCTCTCTCCCACCTCGCCCTCTTTATCTCTCTCGCTCTCTCTTGCTCTCTTTCTCTCACTCTTCCGTCACTTCTCCTCGTTCGGAGACTCCTGTACTGGACGAGTCATCATCTCTTCTTTACCGACCGCCGAGCCCCACTACCGACCGCGTGCCACAGAATAATTCTTTCAAATTTGTTTAAAATTTTCACCGAGACGAGCAGCCTTGAGCCCGCGCCGGTGCGGTGGCGCTCCCACCTCCCCTCCCACCTCTCTCTCGTTACGCCCCGGGCGCTGCGAGATTTGCCCACGGAAATGGTCATTAGGAGGCTCGGTAGTGGTACCTGGTCTTCCCCGCCGCCCACCACCACCACGCCGGGCCCATTCGGTTCCGTTCTGTTGTGCCTCTTCTTCCGGCACGACCTGTGGGAGCTAGCTGGTCCGTGCCTGGCCGAGGTTCTTCCGTGTACCCTCTGCGCCAGGTCTCTTTCCTTTTCTCTCTCTCTCTCTCTCTCTCTCTCTCTCTCTCTCTCTCCCTCTCCCTCTCTCTCCCCCTTCTCTCTCTCTCTCTCTCTCTTTCTCTCTCTCCCTCTCTCTCCCTCTCTCTCCCATCGTTGCTGCCGCAGCCTTCGTCATTTTCAGCCTCAGCTCTCCCGCCGCCGGCTGTGAGTCACTTGGTGCAATATCGCCGGCCGCCTGTCTCCTCCTCCCTTTTTACCCCGTCACCCATTTCCCCCTTCCGCTCCACGGCGACTGTCTGCGCCGTCCAACTTCCACCAGCTGCCCCCCGAGGCTGAATTTTCGATTCCAACTCCTCACAATAAGTGACGTGGCTACCTCGGGCACTGGAGCACAGCCATCGGTTGGCGTCTGTCCGTGCTGGGTACATTAATAAGATATTGAAGATTATCAAGAAGGATTCGAATAGGTGAAAAAAAAAATGTACTTAACTATTAACAAGTCAACTATGATTAATACTTAAATTCACCCATAGCACGACCCTCTCTTGTATATACATCGCTATCCTTGTCTCAAGTGTATTCGTTTCCTGTTTGCACAGGTTCATTTTCCCTGGAAACAATGCAAAAATATTAATCGAATTAGAACAAAACCTTATTTGAAGACGTCATATTCACCTATGATATTTATTGTTTACATTGTAACGAGTTCAATTTTCTCTTCGAATATTCTTGGACCTGTCTTTAACCAATGTACCATACACCATACTCCGAAGTCGGGAAATTTGAGTAGTGCTCTATCTCTTGGCGGCGTATCCTCGACTCGTTGTACTTTAATTACGTGGTGGCGAAGGCCGTTTCGCAGTCGTTGAGTAAGCCGAGCGGCGCTGAGCGGCCTAGGCGCGCCTGCGGGGCTCCAAGCGGGGGGGGCAGGCTCATTGCATGGCACAGGCATTCGCCATCGTATACCCGGCTCGGCTCCTCTCCGTATCCCTTTGGCAACAACACCCTGTTAATTGCCACTTTACCTTTGCTTTCGGCAGACGCCCTGTCACCCCAAATGGGATTCTCCACCACAACCGCACCCTCTCTCCCCTCCCCCCTGCCCCAGTCTCCTCCTCTCCCTCCCCTCTTATATCCACCCTGTAGGACCCTGTAGTCTCCCGTCAACAACACATTTAAGCTTCCACATGAGATGAAGACAGGCCGAAGGTTTGCCGTCAGTTCTTAACTCCCCCCTTTCCTCCCTCGCTTACCTGCTCGCGCCCCCGGCCAACGCGAAACGCACCCGCAGAACTAGCGCGCAGGCGCGGTGCACTGCCGCCTTAATGCTGGGCTCCTCTCGGAAAAAGTTTCCTTACAATTCCGTAATTGCCCTTTTAATAGGTGCAAACTTTCTCGCGATTAGGTGGCGTTTGGGGCGGTCCAGCAGCAACAGCAGCCGGCCTGCGCGGCTGCTGCCCCACCCGCCTTATATACCCTCGTTGCCTGTTCCGGTAATTTCAAATTTTGTTTCGCTTTTTGATGAGCTCTTGCGCGCGACCTCTCTTGCGCTCTCGAGTTGTTTCAGCTCGTCGAATATTCATATACCCACCACCACCACCCACACTCGCGATGTCAAATAATAACATTTTCGCGGTGCGTGTGAAAAAGAACTGACCGCCCGCTCAAGTTGGCATGTCGCCGATGTGGAAGTAAACATACGCACTGCGCTTTACTGGAGTGTGCGCTTTAAAACACAATCCCCCACAGCGGCAGCCTTTTGATGTCGCCTAATGCTCCGGAACAGAGGGAGAGGAAAGAGACCGTCCCGCCTGCACGTCGCTGCTGCAAGGCGCGCCCGCGGCAGCAGTCCCCGCCCTCCGGGGGGCAGGGAGCACCGGGACGCTCCGAGACACCCGCCCTCCCACCCCCTGCTACCTCTACTTACGCCCTGCCCACCCTGAATACACGCCCGAATGTATTTATTTCACTTTTTCGTGTTTTTTTCGGATGCCCCACCGGCGTTGTGGTTTGGGGGTCCTCGCCCACCCCACCCCCGCCAGGCGTGTCGCCCGTAGGCCCTTGCACTACCGGACTTCTTTATGTATTCTCCCCCACCCTTTTCCGCAATTACTTCCTTGACTCCGCAAAAGCCTTTGTTTTGCTCACTTTTTCTCCCTCGCCCGCCCCCGCGTCCCCCTCGCGTTGACGTGTTGTTTCCCCCCTGTATGCTTTATCCCCATTTTCCCTCAAGCACACTCCTCCTCCTCCTCCTCCGCTTTTTCTTCCGCGGGTCGCGGGTGAAGGGGGGAGGGGCGGGGGGAAGGAGGAGTGCGCCACACGTAAACTCGCCACAAAAGGCGTTTAGCGACAAATGACGTCATGAATGAGGAGGATACCGCATTAGGGGCCTCGAGTGGCGGAGGCCGGAGCCCCGCGGCGGCGCGGCGCGCGCGGAGGAGGCCAAAGAAAAGAGAGGGACGGGAGAGTGGCCGCGCGAAGAAGAATGAATGGGGGCTCTCGGCCGCACGCGTGTCCGGGAAACAGAGTTAGGGGCCGAGGTTTGGAGTGGTGTGTGTGTGTGTGTGTGTGCCAGAGAGAGGGAGGGAGAGAGAGAGAGGGCAGAGAGTCGTCCTGCTGCTGGGCTCGAGATATATAAGAGACGAGGAGTATACCGCGAGGAGCGCGCAGTGCGCGGACGAGTGGTTGTGACGACGTCCTCCCCTCCTCGTCCTGATTTCGATGTATGTCCCCCCCACAGGGCGGGCGGGCGGTCTCTGCGATGTCGCTATGATGGCCAGAGGCTTCCGACAGCCGAGGCCGGATTTTGCTACGCATCAACTGAATCATGCATTTGCCGTTTAGAAAGGGCAAAAAAAAAAAAAAAAAAAAAGTTTCCTCCGCTGAATTTGGCTGCCCTTGTCGTTGTTGCAGACGCGCCCCGCTGCAAGGAGGACCGCGACCAGCTGCTGGGCGCAGTGAAGGGCGAGCGCATCACGCTGCACTGCGAGCTGGACGCCAACCCGTCGCAGGTGTCGTACCACTGGACCTTCAACCACTCGGGCTCGCTGCCGGACAACGTGCGCCAGCACCAAGGCCCCGGCGCGGGCGCGTCCAGCCCCGTGCTCTTCTACACGCCCACCGTGGACCAGGACTACGGCACGCTGGCGTGCTACGGCACCAACCAGGTCGGGCGGCAGACGCGGCCCTGCGTCTTTCAGATCGCGGCCGCCGTCCGGCCCTTCTGCCCTGCCAACTGCACGCTGTCCAACGTGACGCACGCCGGCTTCCTCCGCATCGAGTGCGTCGAGGGCTTCGACGGCGGCCTCCCCCAGTGGTTCCTGCTGCAGATGGTGGAGCTGCCCGGCATGCAAGTGCGGTAAGTGGAGGCAGTCCTCACTCTTCTTGATAACTGTATGTAGTCAAATTCAACCATTCAACCAATTCAATCATTTTCGACCAATTTCGGTAGATTTTCGTCATTTTAAACCTCGTCCGTGTTTCGGTCGTTTTAAATCCCGTTTTAGACATTTTCAATCAAGTGACAGTTGACAGTCGTGTTTAATTAAATTGTCACATATAGTCACCTTTGATCAGTTGCTGGTCATTCTTAATAATTTATTAAATCCATACACGGTAGATCGAGCTGGGTACTGCTCATGAAAACAAACATGCAATGGCAGTCACGGTGGTTTGCCGTTTAATTTATTCTCCGACTAATTCGTTGCCATTTCTACTCTCGCGTGGGCAGGCACAACGTGACGCTGCACAAGGGCCCGCCCGTGTTCGAGTTGTCGTGGGCGCCGGCCTCGGGGGTCTCGTACCAGGCCCGGGTGTACGCCGTCAACAACAAGGGCCTGTCGGACGCCGTCATCATTGAAGACGCCCTCCTCAGCGGCATCAGCCCCGTCACCGGTGAGTACAGCCCGCCGCGACCTCGAGGTTATAAGCGAGTGTTATTTTTCAGTGGCTCTATTTATTATTTCTCCCCGCCCCGCGCCGAGCCTGCGGCGCGCTGCTCTGAAAGGGTCGTGTGGCAATTACCGCCTCGGCTTTTCCTTACATCACCGCTCTCGCGCGCGGGGGAACGTTTCGGGGTGTGCCGTGTAAGCCGGGCACGCCCACTCTCACGCCCGCCCCGCGCGCCGCCCGCCCACGCCCCCAGACTCACGCCAGCGGCAGCCCGCCGCGCAGCCACGGCCAACTGCACGGAGAGCCGAACAGCGAGCGCCCACGCGCACGCCAGACGAACCGGAAGCGTCATTTCCGGAAACCTGGCGTGAAAGAAGAGGAAGAGGAGGGGAAGAGGCACCCACCCCCACCCCGTCTCCGCACTGCAGCATTGCAACGTGTGTCTGTGCGTGCCCGCGTGTCACTCGAGGGGTGATTTTCTTTGTATCCTCCTGCTCGTCTGAGGGAAAAAAATACACGATAAAAAAAAGGAGCTAGTCTTGTCGGATCCGTGGCCGGAGAGGTCGACCGCCGGGGCACTGCGTGGCTGACGTGAGGCTTACCCACCCACCCCCTGGTGCCCTTTGGTCGAGCGTGCCCACCCCGCCCCACCACGCCCCGCCACGCCCAGCGATCACTAACGCTGCCCCCCGCGCCCTGCCTCGCCGACGCTGCCGCTGTTTCGAGGTGTAAAGCCAGAAGTGAGAATCGTTTTCACGGCGGCT